CCAGCAGAAACCCCACATTAATTCCCTTACTGTGAAATGAAGGTTGTTCACGGTGGGAAAAGCCAAGTGGAAGCCACTAGAACTACCTCTACCTATAAAAATGATAAATCAAAAGCAATACTGCTTTCTTGCAGTAAATGCAGAGATTAGTGCTACCTTCAAAGACTTGAGAGGTATGGGGTTGGCAGTTCCCACCACATCCCCATTTAACTTGTCCATTCATCCAGTGTGAAGTCAGAAGGCTCTTAGACAGTGGATTATCATCAGCTTAACCAGGTGGTGACTACAACTGCAGCTACTGTACCGGATGTAGTTTCATTGTTTGAGAAAATTAACACATCCCTCGGTACTTGTATGCAGCTGTTTTTCTAACAAATGCCTTTTTCTCCTTGTATTGGCCCACCAGAAGGAGACTCCTCTCCCTTGGTAAGGTCCAGCAATACACCTTCACTGTTCTACCTGAGCAGTATACCAGTTCTCCAGCCCTATGTCATAATGTAGTTCATAGAGATGTTAATTGCCTTTCCCTTTTATAAGCTATCACTCTTGTCCTTGATATTATGCCAGCTGGACCTAGTAGGCAAGAAGTAGCAACTACTCAAGACTTACTGAGATGACAATTGTATGCTGCAGGATAAGAAATAAATGTGACGGCCGGCGCCACGGCTCACTTGGTTAATCCTCCGCCTGTGGTGCTGGCACCCCGGGTTCTAGTCCAGGTTGGGGCGCCGGATTCTGTCCTGGTTGCTCCTCTTCCAGTCCAGCTCTCTGCTGTGGCACGGGAAGGCAGTGGAGGATGGCCCAAGTGCTTGGGCCCTGCACCTGCCTGGGAGACCAGGAGGAAGCACCTGGCTCCTGGCTTCGGATCGGAGCAGCGCGCCAGCCATAGCGGCCATTTAGGGGGTGAACCAACGGAAAGGAAGACCTTTCTCTCTGTCTCTCTCTCTCTCTCTCACTGTCTAACTCTACCTGTCAAAAAAAAAAGAAATAAATGTGACAAAAATTCAGGAGCCTTCTACCTCAGTGAAATTTCTAGGGGTATAGTAGAGTAGCGAGATATCCCTTCTAAAATGAAGGACAATTGTTGCAACTGCCTCTTCCTCAACTAAGAAAGAGGCACATCAAGTGGACTTCTCTGGATTTCAGAGACAATTCAATCCTCATTTGGCTGTTCCTCTGGTCCACTTACCAAGTGATGCAAAGAGTTACAAGTTTTTATTGGGCCCCAGAACTGGAGAAGTCTCCACAATGGGTCCAGGCTTCTTTGAAGGCTGTTCTGTTACTTCATCCATATGTTCTAGCAGATTCAATGGTACTTGATGTGACAGTGGCAGGTAAGAATGCTGTTTGGAGCATTTGGCAGCTCCCTATGGGTAAACTGCAGTGCATATCTTTACAACGCTGAAGCAAAGCTCTACCATCCTCCACACATAACCTTACTGTTTTTGAAAAAGGGCCTTTGGTCTATTTCTAGGCATTAGTACAGACAACACTTAATCATGGACCACCAATTCCCATGCAACCTGAGCTGCCCATCATGAATTGAGTATTATCTGACCCACCAAGCTAAAAAGTCAGCACTCCAGCACCAAAATAAAATGGTATATATGAAATTAGCTTCACACAGGCCTCAAAGGCACAAGTTAAGTTATAAGAAGACATGGTCTAAATGCCTGTGATTCTCACTCCTGCTAAATGCCTTTTCTCTCCCAGCCTGCACTTACGGTCTCATAGAAGCCAGCTGTAAACCTAGAACCTCTATATTGGACATCCCTGAAGGAAAGTGGTAAAAGAAGAATCTTTTCAATGGGCAAGATTTTAAACACCTGGTTATTCACTCCTCTTGGGAGAAATGGCCAGATTTTGTATAAATATGAACTGATTTATAGGTTATAGCTATTAGTTTGCTGAATGGAGAGGGAATAGGAAAGAACATGACTGGAGAATTGGAGAAAAGGAGACATTTCGAAGATACACACACACACACACACACACACACACACAGATCTTTCTGAATGGGCAATAAAAGTGAAGATATTTACCTCATGTGAGCATTCACTAATGAGTGATCTTACCAGAGGAATTTTAAGAATCAAGTGTACATAATGATCCATTCAGCCTCTTTTCCCAGTCACCCCATCACCGCCCAATGACTGAGTGAATATGGTAGCAAGGATGGAGATTATTATGCATGGACTTAGCAACACAGACTTCCACTCACCAACTATGGCCACCACTGAGTGCCCAATTCACCAGCAGTGGAGACTAACACCGAGTCCCTGATAAGGTAACTCCTGGACTGATCAGCCAGCTAGTTGGTGACAGGTTGAATATCAGTATTGGCTTCTCATGGAAAGTATAGCCTTCTCTTCTTACTGGAATATGATTTGCCTTTCCTGCATGCACTGTTTCTGCCAAAACTATCGTCTGTGCACTTACAGAATGCATTTATCTATCATCACAGTTATTGTATGAAGAATTCCTTCTCAAGAATGAACTTACTTCACAGCAAATAAAGTGAGACAATGCAGTCATACTTTTGGAATTCACTAATATCAACACGTTCTCCAGCATCCTGAAACAGCTGGCTTGGCAGGACTCTGAAACAGTCTTTTGTGATCTCAATTACTGTATTGGAACAAACTTTTCTAGGAGGCAACATGTTCTCAGAATCAGCATCCAAGATATGGTGCTTTTTCTTCCATAGTTGAGGATTCATTGGTCCAGGAATCAAGGGGTGGAAATGCGAATGTTACTTACTCACTACTATTTTAGTGATCCACTATCAAAATTTCTGTTTTGTCCCATGACCTTATATCTTGTCCTCTGCTGACCTAGAGGTTTTAATTATAAAGACAAGAATGAGACATAGCAATGATTATGCTGAACTGAAGGATTGCTACCTGGCCACTTTGGGTTCCTCATGTCTTTGAATCAATTGGTAAAGAACTGAGTCAAAGGGCCGTCACTGTGGTGTAGCAGGTAAAGTCACCACCTGCAGTGCCAGCATCCCATATGGGTACAGGTTCAAGTCCTGGCTACTCCACTTCTGATCCAGCTCTCTGTTATGGCCTGGGAAAGTAGTAGAAGATGGCCCAAGTGCTTGGACCCACATAGGTGAGAGACCTGGAAAAACTACTGGCTCCTGGCTTTGGATCGGTGCAGCTCCAGCCATTGCAGCTATCTAAGGAGTGAACCAGCAGATGGAAGACCTTTCTCTCTCTCTCTCTCCCTCTCACTGTCTGTAACTCTACCTCTCAAACAAATAAATAAAATTTTAAAAAAAGATTGGCTCAAATGCTTGGGCCCCTGCACCTTGTGGGAGACCCAAAGGAAGCTCCCAGCTCCTGGCTTCAGATCGGCACAGCTCCAGCCATTGCAGCCCTCTAGTGAGTGAACCAGTGGATGGAAGACCTCTCTCTCTATATCTAATTATCTGCCTTTCAAATAAATGAATAAATCTTTAAAAAGAAAAACAGAGTTACAGGGCTGGTAAGGGTAATTTATCCTGACTACCAGAGGGAAATAGAACTGCTACTCCACAATGGAGGTAAGGAAGAGTGTTCTAGAATATGAGAGATCTCTTGATGGGGCATTCTGTTAGTAGAACTATGTCCTTTGATTATAGTCAATGAAAAACTAAGATCCCAATTTAAGCAGTTCTATTAATGATCTTTGGGTCACTCTACAACTACAACTCGGATATTACTGTAGGCAACGAGAATTCAGAACTGAAGAAAGCAGTTTAAAATATTAGCTACCACCACATGACCAGTTATACAAATGAGGACTATAATTGTCCTGAGTATTTATTTTGTTATGAATATGTGTATTCAATGTATATATGTATGTGTGTGTATACCTCTATTATCCTCTTATCAGGAATGTAAGATATAAAGACTTTATATCATAGTATTTAAGTAATATTAACCTTACATTGCAATATTTAAGTTACCAAATAGCAAGGGGAAGAATAAACACTACCCAAGGACTTAGTACTCTTCTGTGAAAATGGTTATTGAATTTTTGGTTGGATTTAAGATAGCTGCATCATAATAAGGGGAAGTATGACCTTGTTATAATCTTTACTTAGAGGTTAGGTATGACATCAGGAGTCCTATATGCATTCTAAGTTGATAAAGGTAGAATATAATGGTTATTTTTATATGTTAACTTGACTAAGCTATACTACACAGACATTTTGTCAGACAATAATCCAGATGTTGCTGTAAAGGTATTGTTCAGATGAGATTAATATTTAATTCAGTAGTCTTTGGGTAAAGCAGAGTACACTCCATAATGTGGGTGAGTCTTATCCAAACAGCTGAGGTTTTAAAAAAGGAAGAGGGGATGCTGCCCTCCAGACTACATTCTGCTCCACGTTACAACATCAACTCCAGCCTATCTTCCTGTCCTAAAGATTTCAGACTTGCCAGCTTCTACAACTGGTTCAAAGAGTTTCTAAAAATAATTACCTCCTCTGTGTGTGTTTGTGTGTATGTGTGTATATGTGTGTATATGTGTTGCTCTCTCTTTCTCTACACGCACATGTGCACACACACATGTGCACACACACACACACACATACATGACTGGTTCTGTTGCTCTAGAGAAGCCTGACTAATATACACACATGGAGGAAAATATCTGTCTTGGCTTAAATTGATATTTAGGGAGGCAATTTAACCAATTTTACTTTAAAATTTCCATATCTAAATATTTAATGAAATAAAGGATATATTTGTGAAAATTAAGCTTAGAATTCTTTAAAGATATTAATGTTATCTTTGAGGACATTTATGTGGACATTTAGAAAACAATAAGGTAATCATTCATACTGAGAAAAATGTCTTTAAGTGTGGTTTTTTTTTAAGAGAAGTATAAGAACTCCATGGAATTTTTTTTTTTCCTGAAAAGAATGGCACAAATTTAGCTACACCTCCACATAAAAAGTTTTTAAAGCATGTCAATCATTTGACAGTGCCTTTTCTGCTTCCTACCAGGTCCCGTTGATCCTCTTGTACCAGATCCATTTTGTGTACCAAGCAAAAGATTTTGGCATCTGGAGAGTTCTGCAGAATAGCTTCCAGGCATGATTGGTAATAGTGCATGTCCTTTTCCAGTTCACGGCTCTCCACATCAAAGACATAAATCAGAACCTCCACATTTCGGAAGATGTTGTCCCTTTGGCTAGTAAAATAATTTTCCATGAAGGTGTCTTGTCTAGTAGGAAAAAAATCTTGATAGTAAGCAAGTCCTCAGTTCAATCACTTCTACTTATGATGTTTTTTTGTTGGCCTGATTAATGCAAAAGATAATCTTATGACTTCAACTTAAAGGGAAAATAATAGCAAATAGGTCTGGCCTTACCTTTCCTATTGAGGCACAAGTTGTGCTACCCTTTGCCCCTCTTCTTGTGTTCTAAATATACTGGCCTTCTCTCAGTTCTTCAAGAGTTCCATTGTTTATCCACCATGGGGCCTTTATATATTCAGTCTCTTTTGTCTCAAATGTTACCTTCTTACCTCTTCATCCAATTAAATTCTGCTTGTCTCTTCAGATTTCAGTTCAGTCTCTATTACCTCACAGAAACCACCTCTGACCTCTTTGACTTGGGCTGACCTACTCACCATAGGCTCTTATGCCAATACAGCCCTCTTATTTCCTACAACATTTACTACATTTACTACAAGTATGATACTACACTTGCCTGTGTGTTTAATTACTGACATTCACTTCCCTAGACAGCGAGTTTCATGAATTGTAGAGAACAAATCTGTTACCGTTTCCCATTGTTTTTCATCTTTTACAGAGTGTTAGGTTAGGTTAACAATCAACATTTGTTGACTACATATTCTATATGAAAATGACTCCAAGGCTAACTTCTAAGCAGAATGCTGCTCTTTGCTCCTTAGGCTATGTTTTGTTTCCCAAGTCCTCAATAACCATCTAGTTAGCAGAAAACAGTAGCATTGTAGAGTTTGGAACAATTATGAACCTACTTTTGAATTCTGTACTTCACTATTGATTAGCTGTGTGACCTTGGCAGAACAGAAATCTCCCTGGACCACAGCTGCACTGTGTATGAAAATGAAGTTGATATTTTACTGCCAAAATTCAAGATACTTAGAAGAGGCTCTTGATACAGGTTAGAGAATTGGAAGTCACGATAATGAGGAAGGATTTGCATGGAGAGCAGGTAGACTCTAGCCATTAAGTCTAGCAAGAATGGAATCATGTTAATAGACAATTTTTGGCTACTGTATTATTATTTCAGTAAATATTCATTTTGTACAAATATACATTAAGTAGTAATACCTAAATCTATCACGTACAGAGGGCATTGTGTAATGAGTTGGTACCATTACTATCCTTACTCTACATATGAAGAAACTATAGCTTGTAGAATTTAAATGATCTATCCAAGACAAGACAGCCAACACAGCTGAAATAAAAACTCCAGTCTAACTCTAGTGCCTATTTTCCTAACCACCATGCACTACATATACTCCTCCAGCACATGGTAGAGAACAACATTGGCAAATGTGGGGTCTTCAAAAAATTCCTGGAAATGTGTGTTATGGAAAAAAACTATTCATAGAGTTCAACATATTTAAACAAAGTAAATATTTTTAATTATATTTTCCACAAGTTTTTTGAAGTACCTTTGAAGTAAGCATAGTGAGTGTGCATCGCTGATGGTATTTTTGGTGAGTGCCTTGGTGATGAGAGGAGGGACTATCTCCTACTCTTTCAACAATGGATAATTCAGCAGAAAATATGTGCTTAGGATCTGCTCCACAGTGCTGAGATGACCTGGAGATAGTTATTGAAATAACTAAGAACAAAGCAGGATGGTATGAAAACCTTGGCAAAGGCTTCAGATCACGTGAGACAGAAATCCACTTATATCCCTGCAAAAGAGGGGATAATCTATCCCATACTACAGATATCTAGATTGTGCTTGTGGTAGTGCTACTTAAATCTGTCACATATAGAGGCATTTTCACTATTAAAAGTAAGAGATCTTTAACTGACAAATATTTGGTAATTTCTATCCAATGTACCTATTACAAATGACAGTTACTCTAGGTGTATACTGATTTTGCTCGATGCCATGATTAGTGCCATCAGCTTCACAAACAAGTAAGCAGACGGTACTTACCCACCACAATCCCACAGGTTCAAAACCAGGTTTCCCAGAAATCGAACATGAGAATGTTCTACATCAACTGGAAAACAAATATGACAAATCTAGTAATTGTAGCATGCAAGGTGAAATTAAAATTAAGCAAAGCACTGACCCACGGAATTTAGAAGGACCAAAGTGGAGTGAAATGCTCAAAGCTACAAGAAGTAATTTTCAGCTTGATAGTGTGGTTTAGTGGCATGGTGAGCAATTAAACTATGCTGAGCTACAGAACTAGCTCTCATGTAAGTCATTTTACTTTTTAGTAGTTTAGTACTTAAAGTAGAAACAATCTCCAATTACAATACTAATGTTAAAATTTCAACATGTAAGACAATGACATATATACTTAACAGATCTTTCCTGCCCCACCTGCTCATATCAACTTCTCACACAATAAATAAATAAATATACAAACATTAACAAAAACCAAACACAGAATGTACATAAATCATAACCAAATTCCCACTGTTGATTTCTTTTTTACTTAATGACCCTACACTTTCCCATTTATTGACTCCTCTGTCCATATGCAATTCATTGCTAGTCCTTTGTATTCTCTCTCAATTCTGTTATTTATTCTGCAACCCACTACTAACACTAAGGGAGGCCCTTATCTCATGCCTACACTATTGAAATAGCTCCCTAACTGACCTCCCACCAGAAAGCCTTATCCATTTTACTTCATCTTATAGGTTCCTGTCAGGTTCATCTTCTTAACATTACTTTGAACATGTCACTCCCCATTCAATACACTTAAAATGGCTCTTCCATGCCTTTTTGGGGGCTATTCAAGGTCCTTCACAATTTGGCTTCCAATCTAACTATATATCCCCCCAATGATTCAAATAAATAAAATCTTTCACTCCAGCCCAAGTTGGTTTATTCACAGTCCCCTCAAACCACACTACCTCTCCAACTCCCAACATACCTCACATCAGGGATCGCAAACTTGCTAAGTGAGGCCTGGTCAGTAAACTTATACACAAGCAAAGTTGGCCACATATGAAAGGTAAATAGCCACCCAATGTGACAGTGGAATGGACAGCAGCTACTCAACTTTGGCTTGTTTGCAATGAAGGAATGTGGGCTCAGAATAGCCAAATCTTTAAATTTTTTTCAGTAATAATGGGAAATTAATTTTTATAGAAACATTTACATGTTTATAATTAATGCCAATTTTTCTAAAACACTACAACAGGCCAAATTATATTTACAGGCCTTATTGACCATACATTCTGCTTGTTTGCGACCTCTGCCTTACACTACACCCCCAATCCCATCCTGTACTTGTCTATTTTGTATCTGTCTGGAAAGCCCTCCCCATCTTTCTTTCAAAGTTACATTCATGTTTTAATACCCAGCTTAAATCCCACCTCCTCTTAAAAGCCCTGCTTGGCTATGCCCACTTACCATAATTTCTCCCTCTAATCATTCAAACATTTATTAAGCATCTACTCTCTGCCAGGCACTAAAAATCCCATGGAGGAATAGTGAAAATGTTTAGCCAGAAAATTTCTCAAAGTCTACCAATTACTATCTATGTAATTTATATGATATTCAGTTACACAGTGACTTTTTTCTATCTTAAATCTGTTGCTTAAATTGACTGCCATCTAACTTTTGTGCAATTTTAGCTTCTCATAAACTAGATCACAAATAGCAAAGCATTATTAAAAATATACAGGCTTTAGATTCAATGAATCTGAGTTCAAATACCAGCTCTACCTCTCTGGGTAACCTTGGGCAAATCACTTGAGCTACAAGTATCAGTTTTTCTTTCTATTAAAAAAGAAAGGAGGGGCATAGTATTGACCTCACAGGATTACTGTGAGGACTCAATGAATTATCTATCATATATAAAGTGCCTGGCACGTAGTAGGTGCCCAAACTACTTCCCTTCTCCCCTTTACTTCCCCCTCCTTGGAAAAGGAATCAAATCTTACATGTCTTTGTATTTCCAACAGAGTCTACGAGAGAGTAGGTGCTCAAACTGCTATTAATTTGAAGACTATGTATACGGTCTAGTACTAAAAAAAAATGGAAAGAAGTGCTACTGAGAAAGGGAAAGACAATAACAAAAGAAGTGACAGGATTCAGTGACTGTGTAAATATGGGGCACATGGAATAGAAATCTGGTTTCTATTCCCATATCATGGAAATCTTTTTCATCAAGTGACCAATGTCCCCATTACCAAATCCAGTGAACTTTTTAGTCTTTGTCTTACTCTCTGCAGCATGACACTGTTGACTACTCTCTTCTCAAAAATTTCTCTTCTCTTGGTCTCTGATATCATATCTATGAGCTCTTAGGAAGATCCTCCCTCACAAGCTCCTATACTTCTTTCTGTCTCTTAAATGTTCTTCAAGATGCCATCCTTGGTCATCTTCTCATCTGTTTTCTGCCCCAAAGCAAGCTAATACAGTCACATTATTTTATTTACCATCTGGAGACTGATAACTCAAAAATAGGTATCTCTAGTATAAATTTCTCTCCTATCTTAACAACTCACATATTGTACATCTCCACATAATAAACAAGAGTTAAACAAAATCAAAACTCATTGTATCCAAACGTAACTCACAATCTCTTTTTTCTTTCTCTTTCAAGCTTCTCCATTTTAGTGAATTTAACCAGTTTCCTAAGCCAAAACCTGAGTTTCATCCTTCAATCCACTCCCCCCCATTTTCTAAATCTACCCATTAATTGTATTGATTCTATCTCTTAATATATCACAACTCCATTGGCTTCTCATCGTAATAGTATCACCACTGTAACCCAAATCAAGCTCCTGGCATTTTTTATCTAGTCTATTAAAATAGTATCCTGACTGATCAATCTATTTCTACACTTGTCTCCCTCCAATCTATCATCCATATTACAGATATGGTAATATTTTCAAAATGCAGGTTTTTATTTCATTCTTCTATAGAAAGGGAGAAAAAAACCCACAGCTCTCTCTATAAACATGACTATATATATATATATATATATATATACACACACATATATATAGAAGAGAAAATGCCAAAAAGATAACCTCAAAACTGCTAATTGTGGCTCTCCACAAGAAGTAGGCCTGAGAATGAGAGAAGGAATAGACTGTCTAAACTTATGAAATGTTGAATTTTTCAATTACTTTTATAATTAACATTTAAAATTAAAAATAATAAAATATAAATCAGATCACATTATATTTCTGTTTAAAATTCTCTAGGGTCTGTGCTCTACCCTCACTTCAAACTAGCTAACCTGACTAAGCACTTTCTGATATAACTCCCATTTCCTGCTTCCCCTGCAGTCCCTTGGTCACTATAGGGGCCTCTAGTTCTTCTGGTCTTCCTGCCCTGTAGTCACAAGGGCAACTGAAAAGAACCAAGAACAGAGCTTTAGGGAAATCACATACACTTAAGGGGCAGAAAGAAGAAAATACTGTGATGAAGATTTAAAAAAAAATGCAGGGAAGGGATGTTAAACATCAAGGAAGAAAACCAGGACAACAGAATATTAAATAAAAGCCAAGGGAACAGAGAGTTTTGAGAAGGTAGGAAGTCTTAGAGGCGTCAACAGTGTTTGCGACTAAAATACATCAGAATCACATTTTAATTGACAAATTTGCTATTCTGACACACACATTTTAACAGTCCCCTAATAAGTGAATATCACCATTCCACATTCTTACTTCAAATTTCCAAACCACAGTAGGCTCCAAGTTTAACAAAATAAAACTGGACTTTTTCAGGAACGACAAACTAGGAAAACACTAAAACATTAAAGTCAATATAATATTTTATAAGAAGTACTCTTTTACTACTTTTAAAGAAAATCAACAACTGTATAAAAAGGAAATTCAAGGAAAAAGCAATGTTTATATGGATTTTGAACTGGTCTATATAAGTTTAGCAATAGAACTCAGACCGTTTATCAGCAATGACAAATCAGCTAATGGTACACTAAAGCATTAAGGCCAACTTAAGTTTTTTAGTATACCTTTACTACCTTTAACAAGGTACAGTAATAACTAAAAAAGTATTATCAGTAAAGATACCACTTAAGATATCCTTAAGAGAAAAAGCCCTGTTCCATCGACAGAGCCTGGCATACTAGAATCTTGAAAAAAGTACTTGTTGAATAAATAGCCTGCTTTAATGTACAGTTTCATATAATTTACAACATTCAGCAAATTATTATGACACTTGATTATGTCAACACTATTTTAAGCTGTTTGAGTAGTTCTGACATTTTGGTTGCAAGACTATTTAGTCATAAAACTCAGAGAAATAAATCAACTCTGCTGATGAGCTAAAAACAGAAACCTCATTTGGACTAGAAAAAGGTGCTTCAAAAGTGTACAAAATTTAAAACACAAAACAAGACATCTGCCAGAAATTGTTAGACTAGGTAATCTACGTAGGTGTGAGCATAGACTGACACTTAAGCTCTAAAGTTTAGTAGTTGAATGAGATTAACTTCCAAGTCATACTTTCATCATCTAATAAAATTAAGTTAACATTAGGACCAAAGTAAATACAACAGCATACTTGGAAAAGAACAGTTGTTTGATAAACTTTAGCTAACTCCAATCTTCTGAAACTGTAGAGATGGTAGGCACAGATAGTTAACTTGGAAGAAGAGAGAATTTTTAAAATCTTAGCAAATCAAGATGGAGAAAAATCTGGACAGATAAACTTTCCAGAGGCTGGCGTCAAAGATATTAACTCTAGTGACACGACAAGCCATAGAATACTATGTTGACCAAAATATTTGGCCGATATCTTAGATGAAAATTAGATGACATACTTATCACAGATACTTAGCCCAGAGCTAGGAAGGATAGCTAAGACATCAGATGAAACACCAAACAGCTAAGATGAAAACAAGATTCCACCTTTTTTCAATGGATAAAGAAACTGAGGTTCAAAGATATTGTGACTTATCCTGGATTTCATAATTAACAAACACCAGGTACAGAAACAGATCATGGGCTAAAACAAAATCAAACAACTTAAGATAAATAAAAATTTATTCTTTGATTCCTGATATCAACTGCTCAAAAAGTAGATGGCTTTATAACAATATATATGGGCCGGCATCGCGGCTCACTAGGCTAATCCTCCGTCTGCAGCACTGGCACTCCAGGTTCTAGACCCGGCTGGGGCGCCGGTTCTGTCACGGTTGCTCCTCTTCCAGTCCAGCTCTCTGCTGTGGCCTGGGAAGGCAGTGGAGGATGGTCCAAGTGCTTGGGCCCTGCATCTGCATGGGAGACCAGGAGGAAGCGCCTGGCTACTGGCTTCAGATTGGCGCAGCGCGCCAGCCGTAGCGGCCATTTTGGGGGTGAACCAATGGAAGGAAGACCTTTCTCTCTGTCTCTCTCTCTCACTCTCTAACTGACTGTCAAAAAAAATAACAATATATATGAAATGGAATTGGGTTAATTGGGTTTTTAGTATGATTCAATATAATGAAGATAACTCTAGAATAGGAGAGGGAAGGTTATGCTATGCTAACAGCAATGTAATGTCTAGAATAAGAGATGCAACAGGCCCACTCTACCCTGATGGAGACCGCATCTGCATTTAATCTCAGAACTTCAATAAAAATGTGGGCACATTTGAATAAGTTCTTAAAGATGCTTCAAAACTACATCAAATGAGGGATAAGCAGAGGAATTTGAAATGTTTAACTTAAGGAAGACAAGATTTGGGAGGCAAGAGATGGCTTGGATAAATTGAAACATTAACCATCCTCTAGTATTTTGTAGAGATTTCAGAGGACAAAAACAAAACTAGCTAACAAAAAATAAAGAGAAATGAATTCAGAGCTCTACCTAAGAAATGGCTTTCTAATTATCAAAACTGCCTAAATTATGAGAGTCCATACCACACTCCAAGCACCATGAGAACAAAAATGATGTTTCCCTCTCTTCTGTATCCTAGGGTCTGGAACCCAATGCATTGTTAAAAAAACTTTTTTGTCCTCACAAGAGTGAGACATCTTATAAAGTATTGGGTGATTTGTTCTTAAAAGTGTACAAAATAAAAGAAAACCAGATTAGGAATATTTGAAGACCAGATAGGGTAATACCTTCTCACCCAGAAACCAAAGACCAACACAGAATCTAGAAATGTTTGGATGCTGTACAGTGCAATGGCATTGCAGCGCAGAAATGGAAGGGTCTACCAGGACCCTAGTTTCATGGTCTTGGAAGCCATGGCAGCCTAGTGAATCAGCTAATATTCAAACACTAAAGGATAACAACATATTTCCCAGCTTAGAGCTGAAGCTCCAATGAAAACATCTATGAAGACCCAGTAAGAGAAGTCACAAAATGATCACCCTCCTCATGTCCACACCCATAGTCAGTCTACCTTTACTAAGGACAAGGACTAACTACTGCAGCCTGCGCTGCAGCTCAATAGGCTAATCCTCCGCCTGTGGCGCCGGCACACCGGGTTCTAGTCCCGGTTGCAACTCTTCCAGGCCAGCTCTCTGCTATGGCCTGGGAGTGCAGTGGAGGATGGCCCAAGTCCTTGGGCCCTGCACCCCATGGGAGACCAGGAGAAGCACCTGGCTCCTGCCTTCGGATCAGCGCAATGCGCCGGCCACAGCGCACCGGCCGCGGTGCCCATTGGAGTGTGAACCAATGGCAAAAGGAAGACCTTTCTCTCTGTCTCTCTCTCTCTCTCACTGTCCACTCTGCCTGTCAAAAAAAATAAAAAAAAAATGAGAAAAAAAATTTAGGAGATTTTATTGTTATGCTTGTTAATAGCTATGAATTTTCCTTTGAATAATAATAGTATAAAACACTCTCCCCCTACCAAAACAAAGGGTCTTTATCTTTATGCAAGAAATATTGAGATAAACAATTAGTTGGAAAAAGGCTTTTACTTTGTAAGCAACTTAGAAAGAATCTTCCCAAGAGAACGAGCAATAGTAACCAGAATTAGGTGACAACTCTCTGAAGAGGAATACAAAAAGGGAAACATGCTCCAAAACAAATCCCTCAACTTCCGCATCCCCAAGCAACTAGCAACCAAGCAACCAAGTGTGTTATGCAGATTATTAATAGTTAAGATCACCTGGCTTTAAAAAAAGCTTAAACATCTTACTTGTTGCACCAAGGCGACGTGTGTCTCTGGCAATATAATTTGCAAAGATAATAGACCTCATGCTGGTCTTACCAGACCCACTTTTACCCATCAACAGCACCTAAGGACAAAAAGGTAAAACAGAAGGAAAAATGTTAGCCATCAAGGGCAAATAAAGTCCAAAGGGAACTAATTTTCTCCTGTATTTGATATTACACTGAAATGACAGTACCAACAACCTGGTGCAAATACTTGTAATTAACTAAACTGTTGAACACACAAAATTTCCAGGGGCCAGGCACTTGATTATGAAAGACCACACATACTCTGGGCAACACAACTGCAGTGAATTCGTTTTATTACTAATTCATTGTATTACTAATATGCACTATTAATATATTTAGAACTAAGAAAAATGCCATTCTGAGGAGGAAACTAAACCCTGTGTTCTCATAACCTAACATTTGATGCCATGACCTACCTAGCAGAGGATTTCAGTTGATTTTCAGTTGAAAGCTCTTTCCTGCTCAAGGTCAGCCTTCCACCTGTGCCCTTCATCTTATCCTTTCCACTTACCTCCATAGTCTTGTTCCATTAACTAGTCTGTCTCTCCTTGTCCTTTTTCAAAGCTTCCCATGGCCTACAGAATCAAGTCCCTAAACTATATAGTAGGCCCTCTTTGATCTAGCCTTTCTATTTCTTAGTCCTGATCTCCTGTCCCTCTAGGCCTGAAACATTCAATATCAAGCCACACTAAACTGCTTGTAGTCCCTTTGATTACTCTCAGTCCTCCAGGGAGTCCTGACTCTATGACTCTTTTAATGCTGTATTCTTTTCAGCTTCTTTCTACTTATCTTTCAAGACTTGGTTCAGAAATCATCACTTCAAGAAGCTTCTCTGGGGTAGGCATTTGACCTAGTCCACATTCCATATCAGAGTGCCTGGGCTCAAGTTTTGACTCTGCTCTCCATTTGAGTTTCCTGGTAAGGTGCATTCCTGGGAATCAGGCAGTTGAATCTCTACCACCCAAGTGGGTGACTCAGACTGAGTTTCCAGTTCCTGGCTTTAATATCACCTGGCCTTGGCAGGTGAGGCATTTCAGTAGTGAAGCAATGGATTGAAGATCTCTCTCTCTCTCTCTCTCTCTCTCTCTCTCTCTCTCTCCCCTTTGCTATCGCTGCCTCCATGCCCTTCAATTCAAAAAAAAAATAATTTTTAAACGTAAGCTTCTCTCACCCCAATGCCCTAGGGGGACTTAGGTGCTTTTTTGTTTGTACCCCCACACTACTTCACACCACTGCAGATCATAATACATTGCAGATAACTCATTTTGGTGGATCTGTTTCTCATAAGACCCTGAACTACTTGAAAATCAGAGAGTCCTCTATGTGTCTAACATAAAACAATCAAAATATATTCATCAAAAGAATGAGCAAGCTAGCAAAACAAAAGCAAGAGCTTTTTATTTTATTTTTTTTTTACAGGTAGAGTTAGGGAGAGAGAGAGAGAGAAAGGTCTTCCTTCCGTTGGTTCTCCCCCAAAATGGCCGCTACGGCCAGCACGCTGCGCCAATCTGAAGCCAGGAGCCAGGCGCTTCCTCCTGGTCTCCCATGCAGATGCAGGGCCCAAGCACTTGGGCTATCCTCCACTGCACTCCCGGGCCACAGCAGAGAGCTGGACTGGAAGAGGAGCAACCGGGACAGAACCAGTGCCCCAGCCGGGTCTAGAACCTGGAGTGCCAGTGCCGCAGATGGAGGATTAGCCTAGTGAGCCACAGCGCCGGCCAAAGCAAGAGTTTTTAACAATGAGAATTGTTCAGTGGAAAGGGTGGCCTTAAGTTAGTAAAGTCTTCTTGTCAATATCAGCATTTAACATAGAAAAATACATGTGAACCATGCTGCATATTGTTGCACTAGAAGTGAACTAAGAAAAGTGGCCTTTAAAAATATTTATTTATTTATTTGTTTATTTGATAGGCAAACTGAGACAGAGAGTGATCTTTCATTTGTTGGTCCACACCCAAATGCCCACAACAGCCAGGTTTCGTTCAGGCCAATGCCAGGAGCCAGAAATTCCATCATGATCTCCCACATCGATTGCAGGGGTCCAAAAACTGCTTCCCAGACACATTATAGGAAGCTTGATTGGAAGCAGAGGAGCAGAAACTGGAACCAGCACTCAGATATGGGATGCCAGCATCATAGGCAGTGGCTTAAACCACTGCACTACAAAGATGGCCTTTTAAATGACTTTTAAAAGTCCTTTCAAATCTAAAAATTATGAACTATAGTTCCAATTGCTTTATTTCTCAAACAATTAGGATATATATTTTATATTTATCTCTGGGATATTTTATAAAAATTTCTGATTCTAACTATAAGAAATACTCATGAAAATTACTGCACTCAGGCTTGATGTAATCTAGTAACTCAACAACATAACTTTATCTCACTAAGGAAATGTTACTGATAAGCCAATCTAAAGTTGTTTCAATTGTTTTTGTCCCTTAAGTTTTTAACTGAAAAATAGTAATTGTCCACTATGTGATGTTTTGATACATGATTACACTGGAGAATGATTTAATTAATCGGATTTTTCTTCTTATTCATGTAGAAATTTCTGGGTGGGTATTTTTAGGCATTCATGTTCATATAAACTTTAGATGGACTCATCAAGAACATTCCATTAGCAAACTGGAATCACAGAACTTAGCTATTAGATGAAATTATGGCTAATAGCACATTTTTATAAAAAAATAAAGATCTTATCTCAATTGCTTAATGGAAGACTTACCCATACTAACCATGTCAGTTACTGATCTAAGAGCTCTGCAGATATTTACTCATTTAAACTTCAGAATAACTCCTTGAGATAGGTAATATTATCATCATTCTACAAATAAGGAAACTGAAGCTTCAAAAGGGTTAAGAAATTTGCTGCAGATCTGTTCTCTTGGTGATTCTGCCTCAACGCCAAGATGGGGCATACTACTATAAGAGCACAAAAAAAAGGGAATTTTATAGGAAGACAAATACCTTGTGTTTTCCCACATGTAGTAAGAACTAAAATTTAAAAAGAAAAAAACAAAAAAGAAGTGCCTGTTACAATACTGCTTCAAATATATTTTTGTCAAACTATGTTTTATATCTCTGTCAAACCAATGTTCAAGAATGATTTACTGCCGGCGCCGCGGCTCACTAGGCTAATCCTCCGCCTTGCGGCGCCGGCACACCGGGTTCTAGTCCTGGTCAGGGCGCCAGATTCTGTCCCGGTTGCCCCTCTTCCAGGCCAGCTCTCTGCTGTGGCCAGGGAGCGCAGTGGAGGATGGCCCAAGTCCTTGGGCCCTGCACCCCATGGGAGGCCAGGATAAGCACCTGGCTCCTGGCTTCGGATCAGTGCGGTGCGCCGGCCGCAGCGGCCATTGGAGGGTGAACCAACAGCAAAGGAAGACCTTTCTCTGTCTCTCTCTCTCACTGTCCACTCTGCCTGTCAAAATAAATTAAAAAAAAGAATGATTTACTACTATACTTTTAATGACTTGTGATTTTTTTTAATTTATTTATTTGACAGGTAGAGTTACAGACAGTGAAAGAGAGAGACAGAGAGAAAGGTCTTCCTTCCGTTGGTTCACTCTCCAAATGACCGCAACGGCTGGAACTATGCCAGTCCAAAGCCAGGAGCCAGGAGCTTCCTCCTGGTCTCTCATGTGGGTGCAGGAGCCCAAGCACTTGGGCCATCCTCCACTGCCCTCCTGGGCCACAGCAGAGAGCTGGACTGGAAGAGGAGCAACTGGGACTAGAACCCGGCATCCATATGGGATGCTGGCACTGCAGGCAGAGGATTAACCTAGTGCATCACTGCGCCGGCCTCTATGACCTGTGATTATTTTTTTTAATTTTTTTTTGACAGGCAGAGTGGACAGTGAGAGAGAGAGACAGAGAGAAAGGTCTTCCTTTGTCGTTGGTTCACCTTCCAATGGCTGCCGCGGCCAGCGTGCTGCGACCGGCGCACTGCGCTGATCTGATGGCAGGAGCCAGGTACTTACCCTGGTCTCCCATGGGGTGCAGGGCCCAAGGACTTGGGCCACCCTCCACTGCACTCCCTGGCCACAGCAGAGAGCTGGCCTGGAAGAGGGGCAACCGGGACAGAATCCGGCCGGCCCAACCTGTGATTATTTAAAAATGTATTGGGGCCAGCGTTGTATGGGTAACAGGTTAAGCTGCCAAACGCAATGCTGGCATCCCATATGCATGCTGATCAGAGTATTGGCTGTTCCACTTCCAATCCAGCTTCCTGCTAATGTACCTGGGAAAGCAGTGGAAGAGGGCCCAAGTACTCGGGCCCCTGCACCCACTTGGGAGACCCAGACGAAGCTCCTGGCTCCTGGCTTTGGCATGGCTGAGTCCTGGCTGTTACAGCTATTTTGGGGTCTGTCTCTCCTCTACATCTTTCAAATAAAATAAAAAAATTTAAAAATGTATTATGTATGACTGAAATGTTCATCTTTTATTTTACAATTGTTTATAGCACTTGCCTATATTCCTGCTGAACTAGGGTCTTTTTATTTTTCCTTGTTTGAACCCTATTTGGTAAAGCATCAAGCCTTTGACTAAAATGTATATAAAAATATGATATATAGGGCTGGTTCTGTGGTATAGTGGGTTAAGCCACCTCCAACAGCACCAGTATCCCATATAGGCAACAGTTCGAGTCATGGCTGCTCAACTTCTGATACAACTTCCTACTAACATTCCTGGGAAAGCAGTAACAGATAGCCCAAGTCCTTGGGCTCCTGCACCCATGTGGGAGACCTGGAAGAAGCTCCTGGCTTCGGATCAGCCCAGGTCCATCCATTGCATTCATCTGGGCAGTGAACCATTGGAGAGAAGCCCTCTCTCTGTGTGTGTGTGTGTATGTGTGTGTGTGTGTGTGTGTCTCCCTCTCTTCCTCTATAACTGCCTTTCAATAAATAATAAATAAATCTTTAAAAATGTTATCTGAAAAATTAAAAATGAAAGAGAGAGAAAGAAAGGGAAGGAAAGAGTGAATGAAGGAAGGGAGACAAAGGGAGAGAGGATGTAGCATTGCATTATCAGAATTGTATCTCAACTACATTGAATTTATTCTCTTTGTATTAATACCACATTAACATGAGAACTTGCTGTGACTCTGAGAATCCAATTTATTAATAAATTCCTGAAATTAAAATAAAAATAGAAAGCAAAAAAGGAGTTTTAAATTCCTTCTGGTGAACTCATGTAAAAACCTTATCATGGCAACATCTGAATTGAGTTAAACATAAATGTATAGGCTGCAGTCTGTGTCCTTTGTGTATATGGCTTGCACAATGTGCAGATTAATTTGCAAATTTGGAGAACAAATTCTGTATGATTTTTTTTTTTTTGACAGGCAGAGTGGACAGTGAGAGAGAGAGACAGAGAGAGAAAGGTCTTCCTTTGCCGTTGGTTCACCCTCCAATGGCCGCCGCTGCAGCCGGCGCACCGCGCTGATCCTGGCAGGAGCCAGGAGCCAGGTGCTTTTCCTGGTCTCCCATGGGGTGCAGGGCCCAAGCACCTGGGCCATCCTCCACTGCACTCCCTGGCCATAGCAGAGAGCTGGCCTGGAAGAGGGGCAACCGGGACAGAATCCGGCGCCCCAACCGGGACTAGAACCCGGTGTGCCGGCACCGCAAGGTGGAGGATTAGCCTATTGAGCCACGGCGCCGGCCAAATTCTGTATGATTTTGATAGGGTATATAGGTATGGCAGATGGCTTAATCAACAAAAGACTTTAAAAGGACATCATATACTGTTAAATACATGAATGATACAGTCAAATCCTTAAAGTAGGAAAAGTAAATCTGATAGCAAAGAAGGAGATGAAAGTCAGGGAAACCACAAGGTTCCTGAGTAGTCCAGGAATGAGAATATATATATACCACATATTTCCTGAATAGCAACTTCTTACCTTTACCTTCATGTTTTTGATGTACCTAACACATCTTACCTTTTTCTTCATGGCTGTGTTTGGTAGCACCCACCTGCAGATAAAAAGCAAAAGATAGAGTTTTCATGACATAGTTAATTGCCTTAGAAACTGAAACTTTAGAAATACAAATAAATGTAGAGATGCAAGAGAGCATCAGATGACTACAGTTGACTACAGCTATGTTTAGGGCCTCAGTTCAGTGAAGTCCCTAATTTTCCTAATCATAAAACTGGTTTTATGCTCCCTATTCACTAATTAAAAGATCATGAAGTAGCTCCTAAGATTTACTTAGGAATGCAAATCAGGCACTAAATTTCTGGATTCTATTTTTTTTTTTTGAAGATTGAATTTTTCAGAATCTTAAAAATTAACCAAAGTTGCATATACAGGTGTTTTGATAAATCAAATGACATTTTCATATTCAAATCTGCCAGCTAGTTAGAAAAAAAAATCAGTCCATTTTTAATATCTGGAAGTATCTTCACGCCTTGGCTGTCCTTCCAAGGCCCATTTCACTCACCAAAGCACATATAATACAAGTCTCAAATTCAGGTGCAAATTGACAGAAAACACTCTTAAGCCACTGGTCTCTGACCACAAAATGCCAATTCTCTTCCTAGCCTTCTTATCTACAACATGGTGATATCAAATATCCTTTATTGATAATCCAAAGCAATTCAGAACTGCCTCCCCAATTAGCACACCACCGCCAGCCACCACCACCATCCCCACCACCCCCCATCTCCCCCATCCCCCCCATCCACACAAGGAATGTTATCAGCCCAATCTCAAGGGTTGTTTCTGCCCAGTTAGCACCAGTGTGCTTTTCTGCTTAGACTTTGGTCAAAAATATGATGCCAGTCAACTTCATTGGTAAATTGAAGCAACTTATCATTGGATGGGGGGATGGTATGTTCAAATTCACAAGACTCTCATCAAGTAAAACATCCCCCTGCCAGGTTTGACACAATGCCCTTCACCCACCCTAGCGATCCTTCTTGTTCCCCTAGTGGAGGATCCATTCTCGGCCCCAAATTTTCTTTCTCCATCTTTTTCTCAGAATCAGATTCTTCCATCTTGCAACAAGTTCTTTCCGGTCCCTTCTAAATCCGCAATATTCTTTTTTCTTGTTCACCCTCTTAACTGCCTATTCTCATTGCCTGAGGCCCTTAGGCCTGCTCTATGCTTGCCTCCGCCTTTGTCCACTGGGGGGCCGCTTTCCCCAAGGTTACCTTTACCGCCCGAAATTGGCCTCAAGGCACTGCCGAGCCGACCAGCTCAAAGGTCAAATGATTCAGTGGTGCAAAGGAAGAGAAAGAGGATTAGGGGGAAAAGGAGTGGTGGGTTAGGGATTCGTCCCAAGTTTGGGCCTCAGGACCCAAGCTCTCAAAACCCAAAGGTCACTTCACCGCAAAGAAGTAGGGATCGCGAAGGCGGAGGCAGCAGAAAGAGCTGACCCGTGCAGTAGGCACTAAGCTGTCGGCCGGCTCCTTGCACCAGTGGCCTGGCCGCCCTAGGGAATCCGCCCGATGGCGGCGGTTATTATCTAACCGCCCGCCCTTCAGGAGCCCAGGTACCTCACCGCAGCCACCAGACTGCAGGCCAGCATCACGTGGGCACCTGCCGTAAACCCAGAGTCTGTCACGTGACTGCCGCTACCCAAGGGGTGGGTGGGCTGGAAAGAATACCATAGAGACTGTTGAGGGAAAGCCAGAGTGCCCTCTGTCGGCGTCACGTGTGTTGGCCTTTCTGTTCCAGACGCCGCCGGCTGCGTTGGACGCAGCCATCCTGCAAGCATTAAAAAAGTGGCCAGGGAGTGCAGTGGAGGATGGCCCAGGTGCTTGGGCCCTGCACCCCATGGGAGACCAGGAAAAGCACCTGGCTCCTGGCTCCTGCCATCGGATCAGCGCGGTGCGCCGGCCGCAGCGCGCCGGCCACGGCGGCCATTGGAGGGTGAACCAACGGCAAAGGAAGACCTTTCTCTCTGTCTCTCTCTCTCACTGTCCACTCTGCCTGTCAAAAAAAAAAAAAAAAAAAAGTGGGACTGCCGGCCTCACTCTCCGCTCGGTGTTTGTCCGCCACAGAGAATTAAAAGCGACAGTTGCAATTTCGGTGCGTCCAAGTTACCGGTTTTTACTACTGTTTATCCATAACAGTTTTTGGTCGGGAAGGCAGAGCACTCTTTGTCTTCCTGCTTTTATGCTGAGTCCCCATAGCAATTAAATGAATTAATACGCCCAATCGGTTATAACTGTGTCTTCACTTACTAATTGCTCAATGAGTTATCCTTATTACAGGGAATAGGGACTCATGGAAGATTTTAGCACACACATCTATCTCCCCACTTGCTTAAAACAGCGTGAGAAATATATTCCTTATTTACCATATCAAAAAGGAAAGTCTAGAAGTGGTAACTGAAGGACTGCTGGCTGGCATATGCATTCTATATTCTGTACACAGACCTCTGGTATAAACGCCCTAAAGTTTTGTAAGGTGTTGCTTCTAGAAGGGGTTACAGAGGGTAGGCAGTTACAGGTCAGAGGATTAACTCTTCATCTTAAGCCTCTCGGTACTATATATGTTTATATACTATAAATCACATAACTATAATAGTCATTATTTGTTATACATTATATAATACATATTACATATTTATACACACACGCACAGGAAGGGAGGGAAATTGCAAACAGGATAGTCTGTGCCCACATTTTGCATTTGCAGTCCTATATTATCCTTTCTCTACAACTGTCATGCCTAAGGAAAACTTATTCTGTTCTTATTATCCTTTCTTTAGACATATTACTAATATCTTGCCGCCTCCCACCAGCTGTCCTTCAAAAGATTCCTATTCTAGCTTTCCCTATCTAGTGAAAGACCTTCAATCCCAAAGTAAGTTGTAGCTCCAGATTTGCTGCCCTCCACACAAAGTCAGTGAAACTAAGTCATTATAGTCTGTTCTCTTAAGTCTGTCCACTCCTCCCTGTACTTACTGCTGCAGTTTTCGTTCTTTCTGTCATACTCTCTGACCTAAAGAACTGCAAATAATCACCTAAGCGATTTTCCTATACTAGCAGGTTCAAAGGGTTTGGGAGTGGGTGGAATAATTGTCATCAGTCATCTCACCCTTCCAAACAGTAAATATAATCAATATGTGCTTTTTTTGTGAAGGTAGCTTTCAAATATGTCCTCCCAATCCCCACTTTCCCCTGTTTTCTTCAGCCAAATTGCTCCTTTAAAAAGCTCCTTTATAGAAATTTTCAGGCTCCTTGCTACTACTGGTTTCTTTTTCACTCCCTCAAGCTATCCAACCTCCTATCAGCTGCTACAGTAATATATTTTCTAAATGTTTTATTATTTGAGAGGCAGAGAAATGAAGACATATATCTATTGGTTCAGTTCCTAAATGCTCAAAACTCTAGGGCTGAGCCGTGCCCATTCCAGCAGCCAGGAACTCAATCCTGGTTTCCCAAGTGTATGTAAGAGATATAATTATTAGGCCGCCACCACTGCCTCACAGGTTCTGCATTGGCAAGAAGCTGGAGTTAGAAGCGGCAAGTTGGGATTGAACCGAGTTACTCGAATATTAGATGCTGGTGTCTTAACCAGTATCTTAACTACGAGGTCAAACATCTTACCCTTTGATCAATATGTTAAATTATAAAACACAGAATTGGTTTCCCTTCTTTAAAAGTCTTACATAACTTGATTTTAAAAGTATGTCAACAGGGCTTGAGTTGTGGGACAGAGGGTTAAGCTCCCACGTGCGATGTCACATCCCATCTCAGAGGGCTGGTTTGAGTCTGCTGCTATGCTTCTGATCCACCTCCCTGCTAGTGAGCCTGGGAAAGCAATATAAGTTGACCCAATTATCTGTGCCCCTGCCTCCCATGTCGGGGACCTTCATGGAGTTTCCAGCTCCTAGCTCTGGACTGGCCCAACCCTAGCTGTTGTGGCTATTTGAAGAGTGAACCAGCAGATGAAAGATCTCTGTCTGCCTTTCAAATAAATAAAATAAATATATGTTTTAAGTCTACCAACACAAGGGCATTCAATATCTGATCTTCAGCAACCTCAGCAGTCACATATCTCTATCCAATCTCACTCTCTCAACCTTCCTAATAAACAGCTAAAAGTGCCTCAGTGTGGCAAGGGGAAGTAAGAGGAGGAATGAACATATAAGGAGGTGAGGGAAAGATGAAGAAAAGGGGAGAAGTGGAGAAAGCAGAAGTGAAAATGAAAGAAAATATGGGGATTAAGAAGAATAAAGAGGAGCAGGGATAAAGGGAGGGAATGGAAAAAAGGGAGCGGAAAAAGATTGAAGAACTCAACGTAATTAAGGGCTGATTCCGAAGAATGGTAAATAAAACTTAACACAGTGTATACCTATGTGTAGTCTTTAAGATTCTGATTTATACCCTGGCAGCTCTGGCTACTTATTTTTATACTTTCATTTAAGAATCTTATTTAAATAGGAAATTAAAGGCATTTTATATTTTTTACCAAATTATTTTTTAACTTTTTAGTATAGGATATTTTCAGAAAGTATTGATTAAGCACTGTTACATTCATTCAGCAGATATTCAATGAGTAACCAATCAGTGCCAGGAACTATGTTGGATCCTAAGGATACAAACATCATTTAATTTCAGGTTCCACTGCTGTTTGGATGCTTCTGTAATAACACCTCAGCTCCTCCCCCCCCCCCCAACACACACACCAGCCTTTTGTTTGTTCAGATCTCAATGCAGGTTTTTAAACACCTATCTCAGCAAGAAAAAGTAATAAGGCCCCTAACAAAGATTCCAAAAAAAGTTTCCATTTATTCCCTAAATCCAATTGTGTTAGCCTCAAACATACTCTTATATTTCTACTACTCAAACTGTCACTCCTAACTTGCCTACCCTTCCTGTCTTCACGCTTGTCTTCTTTCTTTTTCCGTAGCTCACTACTACTTCCCAGAGCCTCATGGGTTCATTCTTACATCCTGCTAAGAGGCCTCTTCTCACCATTCCCATCTCTTAACTTGAAATATCATTGAATAGTTTTTCAGTTTCCTAGAGTTCAGAATTTTAGGAATGAAAATATTATGGAGACTTTAGTTTGCAGGCCTGCATGTAAGGAATTTAAAATTCAGCACTCAGTGAGACAAAAAGACAAAGCTGAACAGACTGAAAAGCAACAGTTATTTTATCCATCAGAGAAATGAACTCACAGGACAAAAACCTGCCCCCGCCCCAAATACTGGAGAAACAGATAGATACATACAGAAAATGACATTTCTCAGAGCAGAAACTTCCCTGGGAACTATGAACAGAGTAGAAAAAAAGAATTATAATTGAGAAGTTGCTAAAGGCTCTATGTGGACAATCCTGAAAGTTAAAAATTCTAGGGGGACTCAGAAAGAGGCACACTTGTAAATTTTACCTGTAATTCTAACAGATCAATATCACAGTGAATGTCAGAGAAAAATCCTATCCTGCTTCTGAAGTAACAATTTTGAAACACCAGAGCACTCTATTGGTAAATTGGTCTACCCTTAGAAGAAATTACTCTACCAGAACCCAACCTATTAAGGTACTATCAGAGTCCAGTATATCTGGGAGAAGGAAAATCTTCAACTCTTCCCTATACCCATCCTTCCCTACCTAAGGAGGGAAAAATAAAAGAAGCACTGATGAAGTTCATAGCCCAGGGACACAAGCTCACCATAGATGGAGACCTAATTATAGGATTATAGAACTTCCCTTCCTCCACACATTACTACTGTATTACTTAAAGCCTATTTAATACAGTTCTTTGAACTCAGTCCATCATTTCCACTTTCAACAACAAAAAGTAGAAGACATACTAAAAGGCACAGTTTAAAGAGACTGAACAGATATGAAAACCAGAGGAGCGAGCAGGAATGTAGAAATTAACAGATGGTAAATCTAAAAACCTAATATTAATATGCTACAGGAGAGCTGGATTGGAAAAAGAGCGGCTGGGACTTAAACCGGCGCCCATGTGGGATGCCAGTTCCGCAGGTGGAAGATTAACCTACTGCACCACAGCGCTGGCCCCAAAAATGCCTTTCTGAAAATGAAAGCTTGATCTGTTTGGGAAATGTATAGAGCAGATATTTTTGAAATGTAGTTTGTGATAAAAAGTACTCTTGTTAATTTCAGAATAGTCTCTTTGATTTACAAATGTTAATTTTGAAAAAACACCGAAGCCCAAATGTTGATAATTCATTAGCGGAATTATTTTATTAACTTCAAGGTATTCTGTGAACTTCATCTTTGCATTATGATACAGAAATAGCATTTAAAATTATTTTTCAAAGATATTCTTTTCATATGCTTCTCTGGCAATTCAATCTGAATAAACAGCTTTGTATGAGCTGTAATAAGGCATTGAATATAAATTTCAATATATTGAATTGCCTTTGTACTTAACAGACTTTAAAACATTTCTTTTTATTTGAAAGAGCACTTCAATCTGCTGCTTTACTCCCCAAATACAACAGTAGGGGTGCTGGAAACTCAAACCAGGTTTCTCTTGTGGTTGGTGGGAACTCAGTCATTTGAGCCATTACCACTGCCTCTCAGGATCTATATTATCAGGAACTGAACCCAGGTACTCTGATGTGGGATGTGGGTGTCTTAACTAGTGGGCTAACCACCTGCTCCTTAACAAACTCCTTTCTCTTTTTATTTTATTTTCTATTTTTACAATATTTTAAAATTAAGCAGAGAGAAGAGCATTGAAGAAACTGAAGGGGAAAATGAGGGCAGCTCTTTTATCCCTATTGATCTCTGTGGTGAAGTGGAGACTGTCACTTTTTTAGATCATGAAAATAAGCTCAGAAAGGTTCAGGCCAAAGGTGACACAAGGGGCAGAGCTGGGGTTCAGATCCCGACTTTGGAGTTCTCAGTGGTCCTTTAGTATCATGGCAACACAGTAACAGGTATTTTTATTTTGCTCCCATTAATAAAGGTTTTGCAGGTAAGTGGATACTTAGAAATGTGTGTTTTCCCTGGATATTTGTTTAACAATATACTAACATAAAAGGCATGGTTTATTTGCATACAAATGATGAATTTTGAAATTAGATAATTGAATGACGTATTTGTTATTGTTGGTTTTTTCTGCTTGTTTTTGCTTTTTAGAAAAAAAAAAAACATCGCTAATATCTCTTGGTTCCCCAAAGCACACATGATAGAGTCCACACACTTAAGTAGTACATAAAAGGTCTTTTGGTCACCTTTCTCACAGCCACTCCTGGCCTTAATATAACTAAGCACTAAACTTCGTTTGTATCATTCTCTCCCATGCTCCATTTATTTTGTTCACACTGTTGCCTCAGTAATGCCTCTCCTCCAGTTTATCTGCTCAGTTACATTCCTATTTATTTTTGAGAACTTTTCACTGCCTTTCATGTCTTTCCTAGGAAGAAATCTCCCCACTTCTCTGGCAACTTCATGTATCAGTTTCATCATATTTACATTACAAATATGTGTCTCCCACTAATATATGTCAGCTTTCTATACTCAGCATCTAAGACGGATCTCAATACACTGGCATTTCCTCTATTAAGATTTGATGCATGAATGAATGGGAAACAAAACTTTGTTATCAAAAGGCTTGGGGTTAATGCAGGAGCAATTCAAGGGTTTTCAATATCCAAACTAAAATAACTACTTGGAATTGTTTGTTAACACTGGAATTGGATGACAGCAGAACAAGGCTGAGAAGTTCAGGACCAAAAAGAGAAAACTAAGGCTCTGAATGATAAAAATGGGTCTCTTAGGAAGATGTAACCAATGAACAGAAGCAGAGTTCGATCAAATCTCTAGGCTTTGAACATCGTGTCTCCTTCTTCTTAAGCACCCACACCTTCACCTGAACTAGTTACGTGACCTGGGTACACTCTGCATTTTGTACTAAATCCTACCATTCACTTTCATGTGAGAGTGTATGCAGAGTAAGCAGAATTCCCTTCTCATGAAGCATGGCCATGCCCTTCTTTCCCTAGCTTCCACATTACTGTTCTAGGATTTCCAGCCTCCACTAACAATGCACAACTGTCAGCATTGTCATTCAACCTTTCATGACTCCCCCACCTTGATTCAAGCTCCACCTCTTCAGTGCCCACCTCTCACTTTAGCACTATTCTTGTAACAGTTGATAAAGACAAGCTTGGCACCAAGCACAGAGATTAGGGATTGATGAAGGTCAGTGAGGGCATGGGTAAGCATCAGAAGGAAGACAATGCTCCCAGAAGAGAGCAGTGGCAGTTCAAAGGTTAAATAGGGCAGTCATCACATCTGGCTGACTCATACACTTTTGGATGATCTGCTTCCGAGCAGAGGCCAAGGGACGAGTTTCCTCCTGAAAGCGGTGGTGCCCTGCCTCAGTGAGCATCCAAAGGCAAGCTTGAGGTCTTGCATTAATCTCATCTTGAAGTATGACTGGCACCTTCCTGAAGCTCCCCAGGAAGCAAAGGTTGTGGCGAATGGTGTTCTTCCAACCACCTGGAGCTGTCTGAAAAAAAGGGAAATGTTGGCGAATAAAATTGTAGATGTCTTGCACATTGAGTCCAGAGGGGGAGCCGTTTCTTAATGCTAGGGCAATTAGGTGGCCATAATTGAGAGGAGGTCGAGACCAGGACCTTATCTCCTGGTTCTCAATTTGCCAGGATTTCTGCTGCTGAATTCACTCTTTGTTAGGGAACTGGAGGGCTGCAGAAGAGTTGTCTTCTCGTTCCTTTACTTTCTCTTCTGTGAACTCTAACTCACAGATGGAAGAGGTGAAGTGCTTCACTTCAGGAGAATGATCACTTGGGAAAAATGGTTGGCAGTCTACCACTGCAGCCTCTGAGCAGCTAGACTCTTTATCCATAGTGAGTGGCCAAGGGAAAGGACACATACTTCTCAGACCATTTTTATCACTGGGATTTGGGAACCCCTGGATACCAAGGGGGCACACGATGTTAGGATTCACCCACATCCACAGGTTGGGTTCAATGTGAGGATCATCTTTGTTAAGACTAGCTTTTCCCTTCTGAGGCACCTGAGGGGGGTTCGTTGCTAGAAATCTGTGTTTGAGAAGATTCTGCTCAGTTAAGAGGCATTGGTCTGTGGTACAAGGCAGGACAAACTCATTCTCAAAGTCCCAGTCCAGCATCCCCGGCACCTGGCCATGAAGACTGTACAAGAACTCAAGATTTTTTAGATTTAGATCCATCTTTGGTGGAGAGATAGGTGGAGGAAGATTTTCAAAATGACTGCAGTCTCTTGGGCGCTTTTCAAAGCTTTTTCTGGGGCACCGTTTCTGATGTAGTAGATTTCATGAAGGGAGCTTGTCAATAGGCCTGATAAAAATCCTGGAAAAAAAAGAACACCAATGTCTTACTGATTAGTGGTAAGATTTGGAGAAATCTCAGACTTCTGGAACAGACAAGTAACTAAAAAGAACATTTTTGCAGAAAAAAAAGGACTCACTGGAGGCAGGAAGTCCCCATATAACCACATGTAAACTTTGAATTATTTGCAAACTAAATTCACTTGTATAACATCTGATTATCTGGCATATCTTTCAATTTTTGCTGGGTTCATTTAATGAAGAAACAAACACATGTAGAGATGAGATTATATTCTCAAGTCATCCTTAAATGGTTTAAGAAATCATTCCAGTTTTAAAGTGCTTTGAATTTTTGTCAGGTGTTTTCACATAGGTGATATCAATTTATTTTCATGACAGTCCTGCAAGATAACATAGTGGGTATTATTAACTGCTGTAACAAATATTAGAACTGAGATCTACAGAATATTTAGGAACATATCCCTTACTAAGTTAGAGAACTAGATCAGCAGTCCAGGTCTTCTTATATTTTCACTATATGCACTAACTCTAATCACATTTAACATACTATAGAAGGTATGCAGTAATATGTGTAACTGGAGTTTTAGAATAGGATGGTAACTACCAGAATGGCCTCTGTTAGTCTCAAACCCATGTTAGAATCCAACCTTGCTGCTATTTTCGATCCTGTTACGGGGGAAACTAGCTTCCCTCTCCCAGGATCATATTAGGAAACTAGCTGTGAAATGTACTCTGAGGACAGCAGAACCAAAGGTTATTCATGCCATACCAGGTCCTGAAAGCTCCAAAATTTATCTTTCCAGTAAGTCCATGTCAAGGACATTGGTAAGAAAAACAAAATGGTAAGGTTTAGTTTAACTCAGTCTACACATGTCCGTCTATAAAGTATATGAGTTCACTGAAACCATCACACTTGGACTACATCACAAATGTAGCCAGCAAATGTCAATGAGAGCTACTGAAGAGGCACTTTAATCTCCGTGTGGTTTCCTTATCCTCTGGTCATATTCTAATCAAAATCCTCCATACAGGCTTCCATAGTGGTCTTTCTACTGTATCAATATAAAATCAATAACAAAACTGATATGAGCTATTAATATTATTGAGTTCTATAAGTACTCTATGTGATTTAATTCATTAATCCTTAAAAAAATCCTGAATTAGATACTTTTATTATTCCCTCTTTACAGAGTAAAAGTCTTAAGGCACAAAGAAGATTAAGTCTCACAGCTAGTAAATGGCAGAGCTGAGTTTCCAACTCAAGAAGGCTAGCCACAGAGCACTGCTTTTACATTAACATAATAATCTATTTCTATATTGCACCACACAAAAAAACCTTCCAGGAACCAACCCTCTTATATTTCCAGGCTAATTTATCACTTCAGCTTCATACTTCATACTTCATACTTACTAGCCCAGAAATAGTAAGCTTCTGGGATTTAAATCATACACCCCACCTATTTTTTGCCTATGACCCTCTGCTCAAGAACTTCTGCTTAGAATGGCCTATTCCCAATTATCTTGGCTTGGCTAATAAAAATCTTCTTTCCATCTTCTCTTTGGGGAATTAATGGATCTCCTTCACAGTAGCGCACTGACCTGGGAAAATCAGGGGATGGAACATGAAATATATTGCTGATTATTCCAATGTTAAAGAACCAAGACACATTTTAATGTAGTGTCACAAAATTTCTCTTCCATCTTCACCAGGGAAAAAATGTCAAGTATTAGAAATTGGCTAGTAAAACCAATGTGGATACTATTTCTTTGATCTTTATCTTAAAACACTCTATATTTAGACAGTAAGTGTCTACCACGTATCAAAACAGTATATAAAAGTCCTGGAAGACAAGTAAAACATAACCAAAAAGGATATCACCACTTTATAGAGAAATTAAAATAAAAAGTTTCAAGTGCTAGACACCATTCTGCTATAAGATAGAGGGAAAAACTTTTTTCAAATTACATGAATCACATGGGATTCCCATAAAAGTTTGAACTTAAAGGACAGTTTATCCAGGGACAGAAACATGGAAAACAGCAGCACATGCCAACTAGGTTCCTAATACCTTATCTCTTAAGTGTACTCCAAAAACAAGAGGCAGGAGCATTTTTCAAATGCTTTGGAAAAATATATGAACTTGCACTTGTGGGTTTCCTGTTTCCCAGGACCCCACCCTTCCAATAGTCAACATAGTGCAAAAATGTCAGTGACTAATGAAAACACATGCTATCAGCAAAGTGGGGTACAAAAATATAAAAAGATGAAGTGGAAAAAGTGATGAGAATCCATAATGACCTTAGAAATATCTTTTACAGCACATGCCTCCTTATACTTATTTTTGTTCTCCCTTCACACACACACACACACACACACACACACGAATAATGGTTCTGTGGAAGCAGTTTTTATCTCCTTCAATTTTCAAAAATGTCCCTGTGCCCAGATTCTTGTCCCCACTCAAAGAATTTGTATGTAGACTCAATCCTTTGTCTTCTAGGAAATGAATCATCTAGAAAGTCTTTTTAAGGGGCAGGTGCTGTGCTGTAGTTGTTAAAGTTGCTGCCAGCAGTGCCAGCATTCCATATGGGTGCTGGTTCGAGTCCCGGCTGCTCCTCTTCCAATCCAGCTCTTTTTTATGGCCTGGGAAAGCAGTGGAAGATGGCCCAAGTCCTTGGGCACCTGCACGCACATGGGAGACCTGGAGGAAGCTCATGGCTCCTGGCTTTGGATCAGCCTAGCTCTGGCTGTTGCAGCCATTTGGGGAGTGAACCAGCAGATGGTAGATCTCCCTCTCTCTCTCTGCCTCTGCCTCTCTGTAACTCTGCCTTTCAAATAAATAAATAAATCTTTAAAATATATATACTCTATAAAAATGAAAATAATTCTAATCGAAATAAAATATAAAGTATATGCAAATATGAGTTATATTAACAGAATACATGAATATAGTAAAAGTACAGGATAGTACGTATTACCAAACATTAATAAAGAATACTTCATTTTTGTTAAAGGCAACTTACTGAAAAAAATTCCCTGTGTGACAGGGAATTTTATTAGAAGTGCCATGAGATAACAAATAAAACATCATTTTGAAGGAGTATCAGCCAATACTCCATAGCTGAACTCCCCAACCATGCCTTAAAACTCCCTAACAATCAATTAGTTGATAAATCATATTCTATTACCTTGAAATGATAGTCCTCTTTTCCTCTTAGTTAACCAAGGTTATTGAAATCCTAGGAACATGAAGTGTAGTAAAATTAGTGAAATCCTATATATATATATATATATATATAGAGAGAGAGAGAGAGAGAGAGAGAGAGAGATAAGTATAACATTAACCTAAGCAAAGAAAATATGAAGGTGAAAATGAAGAGGAAATAAATTAAACCCATGTTGTTCATATTATAGAATAGGTGTAAATGTTATGTATGTGGATATATTTTCAATTATTGTATTTGTGTAGATTTATATGCCATTTAAACTATTTAAATTATTTCCCAAAAAGCTACATTAAATTTATAATGGCAGTTTAAAACTTTTAGAGAATTCAGTTCACAAAATTGGTAACCAATGTTTAGATGTTCAATAAAAAATATTTTTATAAGTTTTGTTTAGGAGCTGTTTAAACTTAATAAAACTAAGCAGTAAACAAAGCACAAATAGTAGCAGCTATTCCTCTTCATGTACAAAAACCATTGGTCATTAAAGAATCTATAAAAGGTTTATTTCAAAACTATTTTCATGAGCTTTCCTCTCTAGCAATCTGAATTTTCAAGTTCCTGAAGACCACTTCTCTGATTTCACATATAACAAAAATGAAAAAATTCAATATGGGGTATACTGGGTTTCAAGTCACTGTGCATGTAGCAGACAATAGGCTACTGGAATAAGTGATTGCCATTTGACTCATCAATTTATCTCTAGCAAACCTTAAGTCCCCTCATCTATAAAATGGAGATAATAAAAAAAAACCTCACTGAGTTCTTGAAAATATCAATTAAGATAATATATATTATTAACTAAAGTGTAGTGTACATTAAGGTCTAATTTTATTGTTTGACACATAAGTTTACTTTAAGGGGGATACAGATTATTTTTTTAACTTTTATTTAATGAATATAAATTTCCAAAGTACAGCTTATGGATTACAATGGCTTCCCCCCCCCATAACTTCCCTCCCACCCGCAACCATCCCCTTCCCTCTCCCTCCCCCCTTCCATTCACATCAAGATTCATTTTCAATTCTCTTCATATACAGAAGATCAGTTTAGCATATATTAAGTAAAGATTTCATCAGTTCGCACCCACATAGAAACACAAAGTGAAAAATACTGTTTGAATACTAGTTATAGCATTAAATCACAATGTACAGCACATTAAGGACAGAGATCCTACATGAGGAGTAAGTGCACAGTGACTCCTGTTGTTGACTTAACAAATTGACACTCTTGTTTATGGCATCAGTAGTATTTGCAGACACTAGTCTTGTTTATGTGCTCCCTTTAGCTCTTAGTCCTATCATTATGATCAATTGTGAACAGAAATTGATCACCGGGACTAGTGAGATGGCATTGGTACATGCCACCTTGATGGGGTTGAATTGGAATCCCCTGGTATGTTTCTAACTCTACCGTTGGAGGTAAGTCAGCTTGAGCATGTCCCGAATTGCACATCTCTTCCCTCTCTTATTCCCACTCTTATATTTAACAGCGATCACTTTTCAGTTAAGTTTCAACACTTGAGAATAACTGTGTATTGATTACAGTATTCAACCAAAAGTATTAAGTAGAACAAACAAACAAACAAAATACTAAGAGGGATAACGTATGAAGTTGTTCATCAACAGTCAGGGTGAGGGCTGATCAAGTCACCGTTTCTCATAGTGTTCATTTCACTTTAACAGGTTTCCTTTTTGGGGGATACAGATTTTTGAACATATATCATACAGAAAATATACTGGAAAACTTAAA